CTTGGGCTTAAGCGATTCTCTTGCCTCAGTCTCCCGAGTAGCTGGGACTATAGGCGCCTGCCACAATGCCCAGCTATTTTTCTGTTGTAGTTGTCATTGCTGTTATAGCAGGCCCAGGCAGGGTTTGAACTGACCAGCCCCAGTGTGTGTGGCCAGCGCCCTACTGACTGAGCTACAGGAGCCTAGCCTGTGCCCCACTTTTAAATGCCCAGCACACTGCTATTTCCTATGCTGGGAATTCCCTTCCAGCAGATGACTGTGTGTCTCTCACATCCTCCAGGTCACCACTTATGTGTCATGTATCAGAGAGGGCTTGAGCATTCCATGGAGGCGGCACTCTACACAGGAGGGAGCCGGCACCCTACACATAGAAGACGACATTGTTCTCTCTCCCCCACCTTATCTATATCATATAATACTATAATTATTTTCTAATTTCCTGTTTCCCATCACTAGAATGTGGGCAGGGATTTGTCTGTTTGTTCTCTGTGATAACACCAAACTTGCTGTAATCCTTCACCCTCCCTACATCCAAGCCCCTTGCAGTGTGACTTAGAGTCTCTCCTATCAAAAACAGATTATCTTTCCTTACCTTGGGAATCTGACTAGCTTTGTGACTTGCTTTGGCCAACAGAATGTGACCTGATTTAGCCAACAGAAGTGATCTATGGTCCCATATAGGTTAAGAGGCTTGCAGCCCATGGGCCCCTTCTTGGAATCCTGCCACTGTCATGTGAACAAGCCCAGGCTACCTGCTGGCTGATAACTGATGAGTAGCCCAGTGGGCTCAACAATTGACCACAAGATATTTGAATAAGGCCACCAGCACATGAGCAAGTCCTACCAAGGTCAGCCGAGCCGGGCCCAGATGAGCAAACCACTCAGCTGAACTGCTGCCGACTTTTTGTTTTAAACCAGGTATCCTCAAGCTATGGCCCGCAGGCCACATGCAGCCTGCCTAGGACATTTATCCAGCTCACCAGGTGTTTTTGCCACCGCTGCCTGTCCTGCTTAGCAGTCGACTCATCCCAGGGCCCACAGTCCAGCCCTCCAATGGTCTGAGGGACAGTGAACTGGCCACCTGTTTAAAAAGGTTGAGGACCCCTGTTAATTTAAACCATTACATTTGAGAATGGTTTGCTATACAGTATTATTTGTGGTGATAGATAACTGATACCTCATACAAACACTTAGCCCAATTCCTGGCATGAAATATATGCCCAATAAATATTCGCAACACAAATGAATCAATAAGTGGGGAAGAGGAAAACATTCAACTTTTTGGTCACTTAATAATGACCAATAAGTACTGCATTTGACAAGTATGTGTCAGATGAATAAGCAGAAAGTGACAGGTCTTATTATGCAGGAGTATAACCAAACAAGATCTTTTGTCTTTCAAGGGCTTAAAAGAGTATCTCCTGGGCACACCGGAGGGGAGACAGTAGCATTTAGTCTGTAAGGGAGCCAAAGCTTGAGCCTGTGTTGGCCAGGAGCTTTCGGCTGGTCATGGCTCTGTGTGAGAACATGAGAAAAGTACCAGTGGGGACAGGTCTCGCAACAGCAGGAGAGACAACCCAGCCGTGGCCCTGGCCCTGGCCCTGAGGTCAGCTTTATACAGCTTCCAGAACCCTCTACCACCCCTAACTCTCCCTCTCCAGGTATCTGGAAGCCACATTGCTGTGTTTCTCAGAAAGTGGTTGTCACCTACCTCTGTTTTGTCTAGAAAGCTAGTGAAAATGCAAAATCCTGGACCTGACTCTAGAACTACTAAATTGACGTCTCCAGAGGAAGCATTTAAGAACCTGTATTTTAACAAGTTCCATGCTGTCCACAGGGGTCCTTGGACACAGAACAGAAAAGGTGACTGTCAGTGGCTGTTCACTGTCCCATTCCAGACACCACTTATTGGGTTCCCTTCATGGTCACCACTTACTGGGTCCCATCTGGGGTGCCACTTATCAGGGCCCGGGACTGGCCAAGTCTCCGGCCCCCAGCTTATTTAGGTTCTGGACACAGACCGCTAGGCTACCTTGCTGGGTAAAAATTGTTCTTATGTGCCTGAGGGCTATTTGCTTTAGCAGAAAGGAGAGAGAAAGACAGTATTTGAGAGAGTAAAGCAGTCTTAGTAGAAGAATACATCTTAGCAGTCTTTAGCAGTCTTTCGTAGAGAGATGCTATACATACCTCCTGTAGGCAGGAGAAGCAAGAGTCAGAGTGAGCAGGTCCATGAGCAAATGCACACTCCAGACCTGCCTTCTCCAGCCTCTTCTAGATATACTTCCATGGCGCTTAACACCACAGGTGTAGAGACTGCCAATCACTGATGCTCTCATCTCGCGAGCTCTCATGTGAGGCGAGCCAAATACTCCCCATGCCCTTATTACCAAGGTGTTACATTACGGAGCTATACAGGTGTTTCTTGTAACTCTCATTCCTCCTTGCCATAAGCTATACGGGCTGCTACAGGTGTCCTATGCCATCACCAGCGGGTGAATGGGAAGTTGGAGCAAATGGATTCTGGGATGGAGAGAAGAGGGAGTGCAGCTTGAGATGTTCAGCTGCCTTACCTAATCCTCAATAACTTCTTGGGAGGTAGGTTATCATACCCATTGCATGGAGGAGGACTCTGAGGCTCAGAGAGATAGTATCACAGTCAGCCTTACTGCATATAGGGGTGCTTTGCTTGTACCCCAAAGGAACCCACTTGATAAAACACCTTGTGTTTTGTCCCCAGTCTTTCTACAGGGTCATTTTAGGCTCACAAAGGCAGCACAGGTCATATGCTAAAGCGACATGAAAGCACAGAATACAGATGTGGGAGGTTTTCACTTCTATCTCTAATGAATTAAAGCAAACATCCCTTTCATGGTCCAGCTAAATGTTGTTTTCAAGTTTGACGTTTTGTGTTGTATGTATATATTTTAAATGAATTTGATAATTAAGCCACAAATGTTCACTGCACACTTGGGTATATTTAAATTACAGGCATCCAATCAAATGGGTAGACATCACAAATACAGGCATAAGTAATGCCTCTTTTTGTTCAGTGCCTTTTGTAGCACTCAAATGGATCTGTCAGCTTAATGGCCAATTCTGAGGCTGTCAGGAATGGAGGTGGGAGGGGAGTTGGCAAAAGGAAAGCAGGAAGTGAAACCCTACGGTATAAAGTTGTGGTTCTTCCCTTTTAAGAAAACATTTCATCTGAGCCTGTAATTCATCACAACAAGCCAGTTTTGAAAACAAAAACAAGCTGGCCAAAAGGGTATTTGTGTCTGCCTGGCTGGCATTATTCTATATGCAGTGCCAACAAACAGACTCGCATTCCAGCTCTTTGTGGGAAAGTACTGTTATTGAAAGTTCAGCACTTGTCCCCCAAAGCCCCACCAGAAAAAGAGGGACAAGCGGTTTGAAGAGAAGGAAAGAGTTATACCTTGCAGGCAAAAGAGGAAAATGGCAGACATGGTCTCAAAATCCAAACTGCTGCTTCTGAGCAGAAGCACAGAGTTTATAAAGGTTCTGATCCCATAATCCCATCTTGGGCCAAGACAATTTCATGGCCTCTGCCCAGATTCATCCCATCTTCAGCTAAAACAATCTTGTGACCTCCACCTGGATTAATCCCGTCTTTGGCTAAGAGGATCTTGTGACTTGTGCCCATCCCTTCTTCAGCTAAGAGGATCTTGTGACCTCTGCCCAGACAATTCCCTTGAGCTATCTCCTGTGGCCCAAAGAACAAGAAATATCCCTGCCCTGTCCAACCACTGACCTGAAGCAGGAATGCAGGTTTCAGTTCCCCAAAAGCTGGGGAGACAGAAAATATTCTTGCCATTTTTTTTCAGGTCATCCCCCTCTACAACAGGACTGCTGGAATCAAGGGCTCCTTTGGCCCTTCCATGCTGGGAGGCCTGTCTGGGCAAGTTGAAGCCTGGTGTCTACCCTGCTATAGTCTCTGAATAGTAACAGCCCATCCACTATCAAAAAAAAATTCAAATTTAGTAAAGAGACTTGTATTTGAAAGGATTATTGCTAGAGGGGAATGGGACTATTGCAATAAAAAGAATGCTGTGGCCATAAGGTTTTTCTTTTATAGGGAGGAGAAAACAGGCTAGAAAGAATCAGAAAGGACATGAAAGGGTGGCATGCTGGATAATAGGTCAGTGGGCCTTACTCTGAGTCCCAGCCTGTTCTTAGGAGGGGCTCTCTGCTGGCTCCGGCTGAGGATGGGCCAAAGTTTAGGGACCTGGAGAAAGGAGAAAATCTTAAGCAAAGTTTGGTTAACAAGCATTTTGCAAGGACTGATTAGCAAGACAATTGCCAAACATAGGTTCTGCTGCCTGTCACCCAAGAACCAAACACCAGAAGAGAGGCTAGTGTTGGTACAGTGGTTTATTCAAGTGCCCACAGCCTGAAGAAATGTCCAATTATTGTCTTAAAGACCATCTCATCTCCTCAGTTTACTGAGCAATTTATAAAGGGAAAGGGTGATGGAGGCGGGTGGCAGAAAGCAAGTTTTGCGATGGTTATCAGTAAATAGTAGGTGTTTGGTGAATCTTTTTTTTTTATTAAGTCAAATACACATAGATCATGAATACATTTATGCATATGTGGGGTACAATGTGTTGAATTTTTTTAATACAATCTGACGTGGTTACATCAAACCAATCAACACAGCTTTTGCCTCATTTACTTGATTATTGTGTTAAGACATTTATGAAGCGGTCTGCAGTTGGGTTGGCCTATTCTAGACTCATCATCTGTTTTTCCTCAAAATCATTTTCTAATCTTGGGCTGGGCAGCTGTGTAAGCAAGCAGCGGGTTAATTATAAACTTATAAGACAGAAGAGCCAAAGGCATCCTGAAAGCAAAGTCCCCTTAGCTAGACTAGCTTTTTTTTTTTATGAGACAGTATCTCTTTCTTGCCCTGGGTAGAGTGCCTGTCGTCATAGCTCACCGCCATCTCAAACTCTTGGGCTCAAGCAATTCACTGGCCTCAGCCTCTCAAGTAGCAAGGACTACAGGTACCTGCCACACCACCTGGCTATTTTTAGAGATGGGGTCTGGCTCTTGCTCAGGCTGGTCTGGAATTTCTGAACTCAAGCAATCCACCTGTCTTGGCTTCCCAGAAGCTTGGCATTATTATGTGAAAAGCCCTTGGGATGTGCTTACAGGACAAGTAGTTAGGCTAATCACTTATGAACAAAGAATGGGAATTTAGGGGTCCCTATCTAGCCTTGTTTTAGGAAACAAGCAAGGAATCCTAAGTCTTATCTCAGTCCTATGGGAGAGGGTGGTTCTTTTGCAATAAGCTGTTTTCTAGGACAAAGGGTATGAAGAATTCCTTTTACCTTCTCTGTTTTCCAAGGGCACAGAGTTCAGGAACAATTCAACACTGTCACCGTTCAAGGGATATAACCTAGTAAAGTACTTAAGCAAGTAGACTCAGGAGTGACTGCTGTATCCAAACACCAGCCTCCTAGTGTGTGTGATTGGGGCCCGGGGAGCGTTAAGACTTTTCTGTGCTTTACTTCCTCCCTCCCTCCCTAAACTGGGGATGACCATGATCATTATTTAAATACTTTTAAAGCGCTTTAGCACAGTACCTACTAATCTGCTAGATCGGCCTTGAGCAAGTCTGTTTCCTACTCAAACTCCAAACCCAGTTATGTGCATATTTTCTATAGCCGCGGTTCAACGCTGCACAAGTCCATACTTGACACCACAGGGCCCGTGTGCTCAAAACTGAGAAGTCCCACTGACACTGCACCACTCACCAGTAAGACGGTGGCAGAAACGAGCCCCCCGGCCACTTGCTACTACTCATTGCAACCCAGATCCTTCTCACTCGAATGGCCCTGGATGTAGCACTTGTTCATAGGTCCCAATTCCATGATCTGTGACTTTCCAATAATACAAGCCGGTGGTCTCTTTATTTCATCGAGCCTCAGTTTACCTCCCCATAAAACAGGGAAAACTAATAATCTTAGTTGCAGGGATTAATTTAATGTGATGGAGGATGTGAAACTGCTTTGTAAGAAGTCACAATCATTGCAAAGGAGCATTGGAACAGCGTAGCCCCTCGGGTCGCCACCACCCTCCCGCCTTTCACGGGGGGCGGAGCCACAGAATCAGTCACTCTGCGCTCCTCAGGGCCCTCGGTCGTGATCAAACGAGAGCTGAGACATCAACCTTGCGGTCTTCAGACTCCTCGCAGAGAGCAGAGTGCTCAGACCTAACGCAACTACTCGTCGCAGCCGCAGGGAGACTCGACACCGTCCAAACGCCAAGACAGGTCAGTTGGAAACTTCAGCGCGTGGGCAGCTCTGGCTCCAGAGAAGTGGAGGGACCAGGCTGGGAAAGAAGGACCGTCACAGTAAGGGGTTAAGCTGGCAAGAAGATCGCTTTGCGCGTGCGCCCCGGAAAGGCCCGGGGCTGCTAGAGCCAGCGCATGCGCCTTAGGAATGCAGCGTTTCGCCGCTCTTCAGCTCTACGGCACTTCTACGCAGCTGGTGTTATGGGCGTCTTTTTGCGCATGCGTGGAGATCTGTTCCGCGGCATCCTGCTTTGGGCTTGTCGAGCTTGTACAACTCCAGCGGTTTTATGCCATTTCAATATTTTGACCTCGAGTGCTGGTAACCAGCCGTTCTTCCCGGGTTACATAGCCTTTGCCGTCGGCCTAAACCTAGAGCCGGCGGGTCCCGAATGTGAGCCTGGAGAAATGCAGCCCACGAAGGCGCCAGGGAGGGAAAGGGTCCAAGGCCTCGGGTGGAAAGTGGCACGGGGTGCGCGAGGACCCTGCGGGGCCTGCCGAAGGAGGGGTGTTTGCAACTCGGAGGGCGTTAACGCTGATGAACGGTGTTGCGTTTCCCAGCATAAGCGGGTCACCGTGCTCACAAGGGTTGAAAGGGAAGGGGCACCGTGCTCAGCCAGGGTCAGGCTGTGGGCAGATGTTGGGGGCTCATCGGCGTCTGTTTAGCTCTTAAAGAGCCAGAGGGACCGTTGAGCCGTTGAATAACGCCTTCTCGAAAACTTCCAAACCTGTCTGGAAAATTCTACGAAGTTCTTCTATTTGCGCGAGTTCAGGAGGGTGGGGGGTACTGCCACAGCAAAATTGAAGAAATGACAAAGCTGTGGGCAGCCTGTTCCCAGAAAGCCAGTAAGAGGCTGATTTGTCCTGGAATCCCCCTTCGGAAGGCTTTGTCACAAGGAGCTTGATGTTCCTAGTGGCCGGCCTGAGAGCCTCTGGGACCGTGGTGGGGGTCGTGGAGATGCCTTTTCACTCATCCTGAAGGACAGCCCTGAGAGGTGCTTTAGAGAGGCCATTTAAAATAACAAGAGAATTCTGGGCTGATAGTGCGGTGGCTTATAACCAACAGGAACCCACTCTGGCTGTTTACTAACAGCAAATAAAAGGCCAGTTTGCATGGTGAACTTTGGATGATAAATTTGCAAAGTCCAGCCTGAGTCCCTTTGGGCTGCTTTATACAGCCTATACATGGTTCCTTTGTGTTCAATATGACTAGTAAGAAGCCTTTTATAAGGCTTATCTTAGGCCAATTCATAAAGCCAAGACAAAAACCTCCCAGGGGTTAGCTCATAACAACGCTTATCTGACCATATTTCCAAGATCCTTTCATCCACCAACAGATAAGCCTTTATGTAAGGAGAAAATTTTAGGACCTGAAAGTCCACTGAGAAAAGCTGATTTATGCAGCCTATACCTGGTCTTTTCCTGAAACCTGGCCTGTGTCATGAGACTAGTATGTGTGGCACTCTGGAAGGCAAGTTTGCCAAGCCAGGACACAAGACTGCTCAGGCGGTCTGTATACCTAATACCCCTCACCCCTTTCAAAAAAAGCCTGTGACCAGGAAGAGGTCTTTCAAGGCCAATACCTATTGAGTTCTGGGAGACCAGCCTATAGAGTGAATATATAAAGCCACTCAGGTTTTTTCTTTTTCTTTTTCGAGACAGGAGTCTCACTATGCCACCTTCGGTAGTGTGCTGTAGCATCACAGCTCTTAACTCTTGGGCTTAAGCTATTCTCTTGCCTCAGCCCCCCAAGTAGCTGGACAATAGGCACCTGCCACAATGCCTGGCTATTTTTTTGTTGCAGTTGTTTAGCAGGCCCGGGCTGGGTTTGAACCCCTGCTGCCATGGTGTATGTGGTCAGTGCCCTAACCGCTGTGCTATGGGCACTGAGCCCACTCAACGCTTTTTCAATGGCCGGTACTTGGGTGATCATAGGTGTCCGTTTATCTGGTATAGCCCCAGTTTTTGATTTGTCTAGGCATGAATATTAATTAATAGCATCCTGGCTTAGATGATCCATAGTTCACCCACCTACACCTGACCACTAGAAGGCTGTTTCTATAACTTACAATAAAATATGTGGAGTTCTGAGAGGCGAATTTAAAAGCCAGTCTAGCTATCACCTGGAAAGATTTTCACACGTTGTATTGTCTTGTTCCCCTCTCCCCTTGCAAAAAACTGGCAAATAAGGCGTCTTATTCTTGACTGCCTCCTCTGAGGGCTTTCTTTTATAGCACCTTTTAATAAAGGCAGTTCATTCAGTTCTGTGAAGCCCATCAATAAAGCCAGGCGATAACCTCCGGAAAACTGCTTGATAACAATTATCAAGAAGCTTTTTTCTGGGCTGGGCGTGGTGGCTCATGCTTATAATCCCAGCATTCTGGGATGCTGAGATGGGTGGATTGCTTGAGCTTCAAGACTAGTCTAAGCAACAGCAAGACCCTGTCTCTAAACAATAGTTGGGCATTGTGGTGACTGCCTATAGTCCCAGCTACTTTGGAGGCTGAGACAAGAGATTCGCTTAAGCCGAAGAGTTTGAGGTTGCTGTGAGCTATGATGCCACGGCAGTCTACCGAGGCTGACAAAGTTAAGACTGTCTCCAAAAAAAAAAAAAAAAAGTCTCACCCAGCCAGACGAAGACTCTCCTGTAAGGCTACTTCATGTGGCTTACAGGAGCCAGAGTGAGGCTGTTCCCCAGAGGGTTATGGATACACAAGCAACGCTTCATGGGAGTATAAAGAAACCATGGCAAACTGACTTGTAAAACTAAGGCAAAATCCAGTGTCACCAGGCCTCAGACAAGCCCCAGTCTGTAAGGAGACCAGTATTTAAAATGGGTCACAAGGCCACTATGGAAGATGTTGCATATATTAGAATTGGTGCTTTTCCTAAAGGCAAATTTAAAAGACCAAATCATGAGAGGTTCAGGCCAGCATGCTGCTTCATGGTGGAAAGCTGCTTCATGCTGCAAACACGGGTTTTAGAGGATGGTCGTATTTTAAGATCAAATCATAGGGCCTCTGGGAGGCCGATTCACATGGCTAATACAGAGACAATTTGAAAGCCCACTTCTGGAAAGTTGTCATACGGTCTATCTCAACTTAAGTTCCTGAAGACTTTTTAATAAGGCCATTCACTGAAGAACTTTGTATTTCAAGTAAATAAAGCTATTTCGTGTGGCCAAGAGGAGACCGTTTTGCACAGCCAGTGTGAGGCCCTCTTTCCCGGAAGCCTATTTCACGTAGTCTTCAATGTGAGCTGTTCTCCAAGGCCAGTTTTCAGAGTAGCACATAGGCTGCCTTAGGAAGCCAGTTTATGAAGACTAGACATGAAGCCACTCGTGGGTTACAAGGCAGCATATGAGGCTACCAGGAGAAGCTAAGGCCTGTATGAGCGCTGTGAGGGCCATGTTATGAGGTCCCCCTTGATGCTAGTGGACAAAGTACATATCTGCATCCCAGGGAACTAGTTTGTAGTAGCACGTTTGAAACCTTTTGGGAGGCCATTTTAAAAGGCCACTAAAGACAACAGTTTATAAAGCTGGTACATAAGGCCTAGTGGAAGACTGACCAATCAGTATACTTTTGGGAGGCCTTTCTATAGATCTGTATGAGAAACCAGGGTGGGGCCTCAGGCTTCTGGGTGCTCATGATGAGACTTTTTTTTTTTTGAGACGGAGTCTCAAGCTATCCCCCTGGGTAGAGTGCCATG